AAACGCACTCTTCTGGCCTCCTAAGGAACTTCCACACATAAGCACATTTCCTCACACAGACAGAAACATATCCATGTAATTAAAAAATAAGAGGTCTGGTGTGGTAGCACATGCCTTTAGTTCTAGCACTCAGGAGGCAGAGGCAGGGGTCTACATAGCAAGTTCAAGGCCACCTGGGGCTACAGGGAGACCCTGTCTCAAAAAAAAAAAAAGACCATGAAAAAGAGGAAAACTTTACTTTGAAATAATTTAAACTTTATAAAGTACTAGAGTGGTGATACCCAAGTTCAGCTCCCAGCACCCACATTGGGTGACTCACAAATGCGTGTAACTCCAGCTCCAGGGGACCCAACGTACTTATGTGCATATACCCACATAGAGATGCACATAACTAAAAATAAAAAAAAAAAATCTAAAAAATGATTTATAAAGAAGTTACAATGATATTATAAGGAATTCTTAAACATTCTCTGTCCAGTTCTCCAAATGTTATCTCACTGTCTCACTGACATAACAGAATCAGGACTTGAGCTTGGCATAGCACTGTCTAATCTACATAGGGGATAATTATGCATCCATGTAATATAGTGTACCTTCTTAATATGTACCTGTAGTAGATGTGAATGAACTGGCTAGTTATGCCCCACATGGTGTTGTCCTCTCATCACACCTTCAAACCCCTTCTAGTCTGGAGGTAAGTGAAGTAGGCCATTACTCCTTACCAACTCAGTTAAACAAGAGAAGTGACCATGTCAAAAAGAAAAAGACAAAAAAGCATAGGAGTCGTGTCAGTTTCAGCCTTTGCAATGTTATTTATTACTTGCATGTTTTCTTCATTACTATATTTTGTTTCAAAATCATTTCTTAGAATTTTATTAGTTTCCTTCAAAAGGCAAGTTTATTCTTTTAGAGCACAGGTACACATGAACTAAGGGCCCCTAAAGTAAATATAAGCCAGTTATGGTGGTACAGACCTGTAATCCCAGCACTTGAGAGGTTGATCGATGCAAGTTCAAGGCCAGCCTGAACTATAAAACAAGACCCCCATCTCTGTCCCCTTCTCCCCATAAAAGTAAACATAAGAAAAGGACACAGGAAAAGATGGCCTAAATGCAGAAGTAGCATTACTTAAGTAACATCTGGCTAGTATGCCATGTGCCTTGTCACTAAATGCTGACCCTAAGCCATGTACTGTCAGCACATGTGTTTGGGAATTGTTAAGCTAAGCCCTCTGGCTTTACTCATCTGTCCATTGAATGGTGTCACTGAGTTGTTCATTGATCATTTTTCCTCCACTCCCACTCCTACAGCTGATGACAGTTCGGACTATTACAGGAAATATCTACTATGCAAGGTCAGGGACAAAAATTGTTGGGAAGGTTCATGAAAAGTTCACGCTGATTGATGGCATTCGGGTGGCAACAGGCTCCTACAGGTACGTTTCGAACAGGTGCATTTCTCATTGATCTAAACCCTTTAGAAGAAGCATGTCATAAAGAGGTGAAAGCTTGCTCCTGTTAACAGAGCCCTGTGACTGAACATTCTCATGTGCACACCCGTGTGTGTGAGTAGGCGCATCAAAGTCCTCTTGTTGGAGGTGGGTGGGGTGAAAGTCCATGGATCAAAACTAAAACACAGATTTTACTAGGCCTGGGATCCCTCAGTCAATGAGGCCTTCATTCAAGCCTTAAGCCAAGGCCTCTGGGGAATAGCCTCACCCCCTGGCTCTTTGGAGACTTGACCTCTTTACCCTGCTCATTTGAAGGCGAGGGCATTTGTGTGGAAGGCAGACTGAAGCTGTTTAACTCTGTCGTGTTGCTACAAACCTTATGATTTAGTGGTTTAGTCTAAAAAGTTCTGGGTATGCTCCAGGCCCACTGTGGAAGGTGAGTGGAGGTTGATATCATAAGGGGGTAATGGGGATCTCTGGAAATCATGCCATTCTCACTCACCTGGTATCACTTGGCCATCTCTCTATGTCTGAGGTTAGCTGTGAGGTGCCGACAGAGTTTAGAGAAGAAAACCCCACTTTTGTATAACAGTGTATCTCTGAGTGTAGTTCCGTGCCAGCTGTAGTTGTGTGGCAAGTGATGAGCAGCTCTTGATGCCTTCCATTTTAAACAGCACCACCACTGTTCAGAACTGAAGCAGAGCATTCTCTTGACACTTCCTTTTGCAAGGCACTTAACAACTATCCGGGGGACTTAGACTTTTTTCCAAGGTAGATTTGTCTATACCAAATAAAACTTACTCAGAATGGTTTTTGTCTGTTTGAAAATATGAAACTACCCTCTACAAATGCACTGTACTACTGCGGCTGACAATGACAGCTTCCATGTGTTAGGACATGGTACAGTCCTGGGGTCAGATACTTCTTTTCCAGAGACTTTCATCTTGGGCCCTGAAATAGTTCTCAGGCAGCATGTGGATTAGCCACTGGTTTAGGTTTCAAGAGACAGAGCTGAGACTGTGTTTCAGGAGCTTCCTTTAAAGCATCCTGCTTCTAGTCAAATCTCAGTGTTGGGACACTAATTCAGACTACTTAGAATGAAACTCACAGAAGGAAGGGTGGGGAAGGCAGTTGATTTTCAGCTCCTCTGGACTTGGGTACATGGGGGGAGGAGGTTATTAGAACACTCTCCATTTCTAGCGGGAGAGGAGTTATCAGAACACTCTTATTTTGGTGGGGATGGAATGGGGGTGGTGGGTACCAGAATACCGTCTCCTATTTCTGTCTTGGCTCTGGCTGATCTTTATTCTCAGACAGCTCTGTCTTTGACAGCAGACTCTAGCTTATTACCTACCCAGCCTTCCTTAGCTGTCTGCCAAAGAGAAACTTATGGCAGCAATACATATCTCTGAAAACTCACTTGGCCCTGGTGAGGTCATATGCCCATTGTGCATGAGTTCCTGCATCCCAAGGGATAGGATACTGGCCAGCCTGAACCATATGCCCACCCCACTGAGAGTAGGCAGGGCTATGCTTGAAGGCTTTCTTGGGCAGGGACAGGTATAGGTTCTGTTACCACAAGAAGAGGAAGAGATGCTGAGCGAGCAGGGACACCTGGCTAGTCACCTCTAAATATGTGTTGAGCACTGGCATCATTGTAGAGTAACAAACCATTTCTGCTCAAGAAATTGAAAGAGGAACCACTAGCTCCCCACTTGGCCATCTCCTCACCTTTAAAATGAGGGTGTTGTTCTAAATATTTAAGATTCCCTTGCTAGACTTTAAAAATTCTTAAGTCTAAGGATTGTGTGGGTTTTAGTGTAGTGTGTAGGTTAAACAGCTGGCCTCCTTTGTTGGCACATTTATTTCTTATTCCATAGATAGTGTATATCACCAAAGTTGTCACTCTTACATGACAACTTTATCATTTATATTAGTAACTAGTAAACTGAAATTTTTCATCCTTACCAGTTTCTGTTTGTTTTTAATCCTTCAGTTTTACATGGACTGATGACAAATTAAATAGTAGTAATTTGGTAATCCTGTCTGGCCAAGTGGTTGAACATTTTGATCTGGAGTTCCGGATCCTGTATGCCCAATCAAAGCCCATCAGCTCCAAACTCCTGTCCAACTTCCGGATCAGTGGTAAGTTTGACCATCTGGCTGACCGAAAGCCACAGTCTAAGGAGCTGACGCTGGGCAACCTGCTGCGCATGAGGCTGGCCAGACTCTCAAGTACACCCAAGAAGACAAACCTGGGCCCAGAGGTGCCCGTTGAAGACAGAGCTGAGACCAAGCGCCGGGACTCTGAGGCTTCAACCATCAGTGATGAAGACTACTTACACAGTCACAAGGACCAACTAGAAGTCAGCAGGGTAGTCGACGCTGCCACCCAGACAGAGCCAGGAGAGGAACAAGTGAGCACAAGTGAGACAGGAACACAGACCAGCTCTAGCGCAGCATGTGCTGGGACTCAAACCACAGTTATCACAAGGGCAGTGAGTGCCCAGGCCACGGTGTGGGCCAAGTCCACCACCACGCAGACCGATGTGGATGAGAGCTACTTTTGTCAGGGAGCCCAGTCTAAGGAAGGATCGCCTACATCTAAGATGTCTGTGTCCAGATCTTCTAGTTTGCGGTCATCCTCTTCTCTGTCTTCCCAGGGCTCGGTGGCAAGTTCCATCAGTTCCCACACCTCCCTGAGAGCCACTGACCTCCACACTCCCGGATACCCCAACTACCTGGGCAGCCCCCACCTGGACCTGTGCTTGAGGGATTCATTCAGAAACTTGAGCAAAGAGCGGCAGGTTCACTTTACTGGTATTAGGTCCCGGCTCAACCACATGCTGACTATGCTCTCCAGGAGAACATTTTTCACAGAAAACTACCTCAGCTTCAGTCCTGGAAGCTTTACCAGAGCCTCTGTGAACTTGGTCTCTGTGAGAGACATGGCACTTTATCCTTCATATCAGTGACTGCTGGGGCCAGCCGGCTCTCCAGAGGCTGACCAGAGCTTCCTGTTTCTAGAAGCATTACATGTCCTTAGTGGCCCCTCTTTTACCTGACAGTGAGTCACTGTCGAATTCTATTCTGCACATATGTTTTTGTTTTTGTCCAGCAGGTGCGGAGACCACCTGTTGGTCATATGGTTTAAACACTATGGGTACTTTTTTCCTTTTTGCACAATTTAAACATTTTCTCTACAAAAGACTATTTAGAAGTTCTAAGGTTAATTCAGGAAAAGATAAAATACTGTTTTTCTTTATGTATTCTTCTGTCTTAGTGTTTTGAGTCACTACTGTTTTTACAATCACAATTATTTGGAAAAACAAAACTGAGTTTCTCTTCAGAATATCTGAATTCTTAGGGTTAAATAACCAT